AAAATTTTTTTTTAAAAAAGTGTGTCGGCTCCAACTCACGATTGGAGTTTTCTCCTTAAGTACGGTTGTCTTTGATTATACGTGGAGGATCCATTGTAGCGTGCAGGATCTCTTTTCTGTGATGATTTTGTCGATGGATCGGATGATTTTGTGGCTGATTTGGCACTTGCCCTTGAGGATGGCTTGCAGCGCGGATCTTGAATCTGTGAAGATGATGTGCGGCTGGATTCTTGGAATCTTTTTAGAAAGGGAAAAAAATCTCGAATGCACTCTTGATAACAATGAGTTCGCGTATAGTTAGATGAGATTTTCCCTACTTGAATTTTATGGTTCTCATGCTTTCTGCTTGGAGAAATAAAGAGAAGACACCTGCACCTCCTCTATCAAGGTTTGAATCGGATGAGCTGACAGTGTAGGCCAGCGATACCCAACCTGCGGGCCGCATGTGGCTCACCGAGCCTTTTTAGGTGGCCCGGTCCTCTTAGAAATTTACTTTATTTAAGAACATTGTATTAAAAATTTGGTGGGAAATTCTTTGTCAAGAAATCAAATGTATCAATTTTGCTTTTTACTGTCGGTGTCGTACGCGTACGAATTGTTATTCTTCTTTTATTTGGAACGGTTAGTGTAACAGATAACAGGGAATAGCGACAATTTTATATGTGGAACTAACTTTTAACTATCTTTCATAACTTACAAGCGAAAAATATTCGAAAAAAAATAAATCGCTTCAAGACGATTGGGAGGTTGGCTATTTTGTAGTGAAAAACAAACATGGACCAGTAATTGTTTGATTTGTCACGAAAGTCTGTATTTAAAAAATACCAATAAACAGGAATCACACATTCAATGACACTTTTCTCGAAGATCTCTTTCAAAGGGTGATAAATAGGCTTTTTCTTGAATAATCTTTACAACAGCATCTAAGTGTTTTGTTATAGTGGTAATATCACAGCGGTGACAAAGACATCCTATAATGTTTGTTATATTATTGGTAATCATATGAAACCGTTTACTGATGCAGAAATTGTGAGGGAGGCTTTCTTAAAAGCTTCTAATTTAGTGTTAGTAAAAAAAAATATAAAAAGTAATAATTTAAAAAAGCAAAATAAAAGTTATAATACTTTGATCAATTTTTCCATACTTTTAAATTTCCAATATTATCTTCGCAAAGCATTTCTCCCTTCCCATTTAACCATATTGCAATGAAATATATATTAGTGGGTTTGGTGAAGGGGTATGTGTAGCGGTCCAGCAGAAAAAGGTTGAGGCGATTGCCTGATTTTGAGTTTGAGTGGTAAAAGTTCTTCGATGGTATAGTCACTTTTATCGAGGCAAAATTTAAACAGGGTGTAGGAGCTCGTAGATTTATAATGGTATTCGTTGAAGACTAGAGGTGTTTTTTTAGGAATATATGACTGTGCTGAATTGATGTCTTTTCTAATTTTTGGTCTAAGGTCGGTTTGGATCTTCTGTTAGATTTATCGCTCCACGCTTTAAAAGTTCTGCTAGAAATATGGTTATCCGGTAGGCTTGGTATGTTATTTGGGAATTTTTAATTGTAGATAATTTTAATGGGGGGACCGCACCCTTTTCAGCATGTTGTTTTTGATGAGGGCCCGGTGATGATTTTCAAGACCCTGCACTGGATCGAATCGATCTTTTCCTTAGAAGTAGGCTTGGTTGGTGCCCAAATGGGTGCAGCGTACTCAAGAATGGGTCTAACGATTTTCATGGATTGGGAAAACAAAAACAATGACCGGGACAATAGCCTTTGTTGCTGATGGTTCCACGCAACCTGTGCCCGCGGTAGCCTAGTAGCCATGCTCAAGGACTCGTGGTCAGTGTGTCATGAGTTCGACCTTATTGCCACTGGAAACCCGCCGGGGGGGTGCGATGAAATTAAATTTTCCCAGGCTAAAAATTCCTTTGGCGGTTGTGGTAGCTTGAAGAGGGGGAAAGCCGTGCTTCGTTCTTGTCACTTGACCATCTTTCGAAATTACGAAACCCGTCCTCAGTAGCCCGAGTGTTGATTTATAGTGCGATTTTAATAAACACTCTCACGCGTAATTTATGGCTACAGCGAACAGGGTTGCGAACTCAGTCCCGGTATTATTTCTTTTGGACCGTTCAACTATCACTAAAGATTTGCTGTGTAGAGAGACTGATGATGGAAAAATGTGGGGGCCAGCCCTTTTAATTGACATAGTGTGAAAGTTTGGTGAATAGGTTCCTAGGTGTGTTATTCCAGGACTACGAGATATGCAAAGCCCCTCGTGATGTTGAAAAAGTAAGCATTCCATGCAAAACAACTCAGTCAACAACTATTGTGAATCAAAATTGGAAGTGCGAATCGAATTTTCATTCTTAAACGCGTGTGTAATGTACACGATAACTTTTCCGATTCCGTTTATGTTGTCTGTCTGGCGCTGTTTTATTTTTATTGGAATAAAAACCAAGATGAAATCGGTATTATCATTGCGTTTGAGCATTTTCTCATGTCTTTTCTATAGCAACAGAAATCCAAGTCATCAAATTGATTATTATGTTATTTTATATATTTGTTTAACGGTTTATAGATGTTAAAATTGAAGATATTTTCTCTTTACGGTCTTCGATAAAAGTAGAGTACCGTTCTTATACTTTTTTGTTTGCTTGACTTTTCACTTATAATCATAATATGGTTGCTTTGTATAGATATCAGACAAACTCTACGATAGTTATAAAATTCTTAAGTTAAAAACAGTATTCTCATAAACTAAATTCGATTTTTTTCAATATTTACCATTCTACTTATATGTAGGGTTTATTTACCCCTCGAAATATATATTTTTCTGAAATAACGCGTGTGAGTACTTTCGAGACAATTTTTTTCCCTTCCTGATTTTAAAAATTTTAACAACCTGTGTGAACCTGTTTACACTTGTAGAAATTGAGCAAAATAAGTCAGGTATATTATTTTTAGTTTTTGAAATTATATGTTACATTTTAGTACATTATAAAAAAACTATAATTATTATCTCAAAAGAATATTTAATGTACATCTATATATTTTTGCTTTTCTGGGAGAACAATTTTATCTTAATCAAAATTGTAAAAAAAAATATAATCAAATCTAGCGGAAATTTGTTTTGTGTTGAATGAATTCAATTCTCATCAAAGTATTATATTACGCAAAATGAAGTTCGAAAGAAACATAATTATTAAGTGAAGGAAATAATAATATTTTCAAAACTATTTAGGATTCGTATTTATAAGCCTTTTAAAGTCCATCTTAGGGACGCAATCATCGAGAGGTCATGGCTGGATTACTTCTGTCGAATCATAGGTTCAAGTTCGTATGCAGGACCGCTTTTCCGCTTAGGCACGCTAGGCACATGCCTAGGGCTCAAGAGGAGCATTTCTGCTCTTGAGAGTGAAGCCTGAAATATTTACCATGGAAAAATTAATGCTTAACAGTTTGATGTTGCTATGTGCTCAAAATGATACTACAATGGATATTGATTGCAATGACGTATTAACAATTTTTCAATGATCAAAACTCAGAGAAAACCTTTATTTGTACTAGTACAATGACAGTTACTCAACAAAGAATAAAGATGTCTAAAAGTAAAAGATAGTAAAACGATAAGCGAAAAAAAAATTAGAATAAACAAATTGAAAACATTTTATGCAATAACGTGTGCTCTATATTGTAATTGCAAACGATTTCATTAATTTACTATACTAATTTACAAAGGGGATCCCATGATGCCGTTAGTTAAGAAACGAACAAGAGTGGCAAAAACATGCCACTATCCTTTCCTTACGGCAGTTGGTTGCCAGTCCAGGACAAAACGCGTCCATAGGTGGTGGATGATAGAAAGACTCTCCAAAGAGCAAAAACAAACAAAAGAGTTTGAGTAAAGGGAAAATCCCTCCCGAACTAAAACTGGTAAGGTAAAAACTGAAGGAGGGGGAGATGCTCTAGAAATTTGGTGGTGGTGGTGGGGCCGTAACAATTGAAAGTACCTAGGGCGCCGGTGAGCTGAAAAACGGCCCTGTTCGTATGCCACTAAAAACCCGTCCCGTAGAGTGGCCGATGCACGTTAATTTTTTAGAGTCCTCAAACTCTTTACATTGCCTTGGTGTGGAAGTTTGGAAAATAAGGTGCCTGCTCAGATGCGTCCTCATGGCTTGACCGTGATTAAAATTACAAGATCAATCTCCGATACCCTTCGTGGGGTCATGGTAGCCTAGTGGTATGACCCCGGACTTGTGGCTGGTGTGTCTCGAGTTCGAGCTCTAGTACCACTGACGACCCGTCCTGCAGACGCGCTAATGCAAGTTAAATCTGCCGTGGCTCAAAGTTTCTACCTTGGAGCGTGTGAAAGTTCGAAGAGGGGATGCCAACTCGAATAGTGTCCTCATCACTTCATCGTGGCTCCAGATTACTAGGTCCGTCGCCAATAGCCCTCGTGTTGCTTTATAGGCCGACGTTCACAAACACTCATCCACCAATTTTCCCTTCTTGCCTTTAGAGTGCGATGCAATTGAAGTTCCATTTTTGTTATGAAACAAAATATCGGCAACTCCATCTTGCTATAATTAATTTTCTTTAAATATTTCTTAAAACTTTTTTCAAAGAAGTAATATACATGCTTAAATTTTTCAACATAATGTCTTTATTTTATTATTTTTTTAAGAATTCATCTGATATTATATTTGTATATTACTTTGCATCCCATTCAGTTTTCAAATATTCAAATTCATTTTTCAATTCCTACTATTAGTTCACACTCTCCCTATATATATATTTCAAATTTTCACAATTGTTAATAAAATACTTTCTATTCCTCCATTCAAATTCAAATGCATTTTTAACTTGTAGTGGATGACACTTGATGTTAATACAGATTTTTCAAATATTAATTCATAAATTAAATTTTAAAAAAACGAATAAATAGTAACAAAAATAATAGTCCAACTCACACTGTACAAAAAGGAAAATCGCTCGTTGTGTCCCTGTAGCACAATGGATTGCGCATTGGACTTGTAATCCAAAGGTCGTGGATTCGAATCCCACTTGGGATGACCTAAGTTCTGAGAATGGGATTTCTTTTTACTATACTGTTTTATTGGAATAATTGTTTAATTAATGAATAAGTAGTAACAAACAAAAATAATAGCCCAACACCCTATATAAAAAAAGAAAATGGAATATTGCAAGGAAAATCTCTTCCTATTTTGCCACTTAATAGTGTGATTCTGTCATATGTATATACATATTGATATTAATTGTAATTATTTAATAAAAAGTAACTAAAATAAAGTTTGACTTCGTTGACCTAAGCTGAAATTGACTTAAAACTTTTCTACATTGCTTGTTTGCTCGATATTTTCTCAATGTTTAATTTTACATTTAGAGAGTCACCGGTATATTTAAAAATAAAATCAAAAACTCGCGAAGTGTTTACAGAATTAGAGTTCCTCTTAGTGGTTATTCAGAACTTGTCAAAAAAAAAAAAAAAAATCAAAGCAAACATTTCATTTTTAAGAAATCCTCCGGAATTCAACTTCCATCAGAATTAGAAAAATGATTCACAAAGTAATCTGATGATCGTGAGTATTGAAAAGTTTATTCCGATTTGAATCCTCATTCTTAAACGATGAGCACTGCACTTCGGATACTGTGGGCGTACACAGAAAACATTACGCATAACAAAATATTTAATGTTCCCCATATTTGGGTGAAGGTGTTCGAATTTTTATTGTTCCGAGTTTTAATTTGAAACTTTTTGTTACTTTTTGTAATCGACGCGCATTTCGATTTTATCTTTCATTTTTTTCTTTCTAATAAAAGATTAATTTTCCTCTAGATAAATAAGTAATAAAACTAGGTGAAATGTGTTGCGTAAAGTAATTATTTACTTTGATTCATATAGGTATACACTTTTTTTACTATCAAAAATTAAATTTTTCTATACATTTCCTTATGATTTACATATCTTCAAGATGAAAAATGATTTTAAAAAAGGATAAATAATATAAAAAGGATGAATAATATTATTAGTGAATTCGTATTTCAAATTGTGATTGTTTTATATGTTATTTCCTGTTAATTAAAAATTCATTTTATTTGAACTCATTTGTACAAGAACTGAATTCAAATCAATAATTATTATTAGTGTTGTTCATATACCTTCCTCCCCTTAAGGCTATCTTCGGCTAATGTTAAAGAACAGGGGCCAAATTCGGAATATTTTTCACAATAAAATACTCACACAAACATAATATTACTATTTACTCCTATCCTAAGAATATCACTTTTCATATACTATTTTTCATTTAGGTTGACACATTTTTCTTATATAAAATGTGTTTTGCATTTTTTTATCTTTATGTTATCCCTTAAATGATCTATCCTTAAAAGGAAAAACTAATTATTTATGAAATGTTCTGAAATTTTAAAAACACTATATTATAAACAAATGCATGAGTTACAATGTCACAAACTTTTATAAAAATTGAGGCATTTTTTCTGTCCGAAAATGTGCTCGGCGTCAAGTTCACGCTCTCGTACATATGGCGAAAACAGCCTTAAAGAAGTGTCTAATAAATATATAATATGTGAAAATATGAATTTTTAGAATCTTAATCTAATTATATATGAGCAGTAATTCAATTATACATAAGACTAGGGAGTGAATGAGTATTTATTTATACGCCACACTCTGTTAAGAAGCACGAGGGCTATTGGAATTGGACCTTGAAATTTTGAATCTCGTTAAATGAAGAGGATGACACCTGAGCTATCATCTCCTTCACCTAGGACTATCACGGAGGACCTTGATAAATTTAACGTGCAACGAACCCCTCTGGATTGATTGAAAAGGGCATGTTGTTTCTTCTAGATCAGTGATCCCCGGGTCGCGTACCGACACGGTCCGTGGATCAAATGGTACCGGTCCGCCATAGGAACATTAAATAATTTCTATTTTATCTACTGGGATGTATTTACTTTCGGGTTTGTGAGACTTGGTAAAATCCTAGGAGAGCCCACACCCTTGGCGACAAAACGAAAAAAGCGCCAAACTAGAACGAGATGGCGCCAAGTGAATACAGAGAGATAAAGTGATGCGTAATGAAAATATATGTAAACAATACAGAAATTAAACATTTAAGATAAAAAAAAATATAAAAACAGCACTTACTTTCTTACTGCCGATCTCTTTTCGAGTGGAGGGTTACAGCGTAACAACAGATTTTAAAAAAGTCTTAAAGGTCTCATCGCTAAGTGAATGATCGTGTGAGCACCCCCATTTTTATTCTGCGACTTAATGGTCGAACATATACTTTCAACAAGGCTGGTGCAATTTCGAAGAAAGCGTTTTATTGTCGACCATGTAACATCATGCCGATCGTTACATTTAGGACATTTATAACTAAGCAATCAATCCTTCCTTCATACACTATTCAATCAATTCTTTCTAACCTTTCGCATTCAATTAAGTAAAAAATTCTAAGATATATTCCTTCACACACGCAACCATTCCAGCCCGGTTCCCCAAAACAAAATGAAATTCGAAATGCTCGCCGACAAAATACGAAATTTCCAGAAATAGTTAGGTTTACCATATCTAGTGTATCAAAGCACAATTATCGCCAACGCAAAATAATTCGCGCCAAGGGTGTGGGCTCTCCTAGGACTGAACCTGCGACTTTCCATGGAACTTATTTATATTCCATGTTAAATTACTTTATATTAATTTTTTTTTTGGTGTAACTGAATTTTATTCTGAAGGCATATTTAAAAACAATTAAATTAAAATTATTCAATCAAAACTGACTAATATATAAGCAACCAACGTCCCCTTCACTCATTGCGCCGCGGTAAAATTATCAAACGTTGCCCGGTCCGCGACGATGAAAAAGGTTGGTAAACACTGTTCTAGATCGGCTGACGCCATGAATCGTCGTTCTCCAGTGGAAACTTGGACTCGAGGCTGTGAAGAGTGCAGAAGCGTGTAGTTGTATGTGGTTTAGGAAACATGTTGTCTTGTAGATCATAATTGAGCACAACTATTATGAAATCGCCCCCCTAGGGTGTCCTTCTCCTTGATTATCTGCGTGAGCTAGAGGTGTAGGATTAACAAAAGAACAAGACGTATCAAAATTCTAAATATGTCTTTATTAAGAATTTAAAATTAAACTTTTAACAGATTAGATGATAATAATATATATGAGAGAATCTACGATGACAAAACACACTATATCAATAATACCGAATTTACGTAACTCGGACTACTCTATCAGTATCAAACCCGCCTAATCTCAATTCCAATAATATCGCAAGTCCTAATATTAAATAGTCAATCCTACCTTGATCCGTTCACGGATTTAATCATAAGGGAGTTGCGTCTTTACTCGAGTGCAATGGTATGCACCTTGACCTAATGGCTCTATCTTCGGGATAACCTCTGTTGGCTGTCACTTCCAAATAGCATCACACTCTCTATCGTAACATTCCCCAAATTGCCATCTCACTTACTCAAACTTCTGATATTTAAAAGCTGTCTAATTTGCATCTTATCTTCACGTTTCATTTCTCTAGGGTTTTGGTTGTAAAAGAGTTTCCATTAATTCTGGCTCCAAAAGAACTCAAAGGACATGTTAAAGAAAAGACGCGTGAGCCCGTCACACTATGTCATCAATTCAGGGGGACACTCATAGCTTGTCATTTTGCATAGAGACATGCACTGTGAAGAGATTTTCGCACAGTAGTAGTGGAGATCCTTGCTCCTGATGTGACAAAATGATCTGCAACGAGCTGAAGCACATTAACGCTTCTCCTCCTTCGGTCTTAAAAATTTAGAAAATGGACTTCCGTACGTGTTGTAACTCGCGTGTCCAACTTGGAAACATATTTTTCTAAATACAAAATCTTCAGATTTAATCTGATAGCACAGTCGTTGGACCAAAACTTGACACATCTACCAACATCACAGCTCGTGACAACTCCATTTCCATCCAACTTCTTAACTTTTCAGGTAAACGACTTCTACGAATTGCTTAACTCTCCTGGATTGTCAACAAAATTACCAACAACTATTGAAGATAAACAGTCTTGCGCAAAACCTACTCACGAGATTGTGAAGGTTTGATTTTTCACTTTTAGTCAGCTTCGAAAAACGTGTTGCATCTGTATCTTTGAAGGCCGTTGTGTATTGTATCAGGCGAAGAGTACTTCGAAGGGCAGTGAGTAATATATTTGGGAGTGAGTAATATATTGAGTGAATAATACATTAGGAGTGAGTGACAAATATTTTTTGCACACACACACAATTATTTGATATTGCTAATGTTTCAGTACTGTAACATTTATGAGGTCGCTCGTATTACCTACCTGTTACAGCTTGTAGATATAGTTAGATGCAGTACTACAGATATTCTTAGAAATGAACATACTGAATATTGAATTTTCTCTCTTGAACATTCCATAAGAAGCTAAAATACCGTGTGTCCATAAATTATTGTTAATGTTTACTTGTCTCATAATTTGTGACTAAAAAATATGAAGAAAAAAAATTATTATTTATAAAGTTGTGACTCAAAATGTTATTAATCAAATAATAAATGGTATTAAATTTTATCGAACTTATTAATAAACCTTTGGGGACAAACTTATAAATAGTTACCTCGTTGCACGTAACATATAGAAACAAACTACCAAGTATTCTCTGGCATTTGCAGCGTAACTCTTTAGATCAGTGATGTCAAACTCGCGTCCCGCGGGCCTGTATGCGGCTCACAACGAGCATTTTTGAGGCCCGACCACAGTATATTGGCCCACAAAAATATATAATAAAATATCAAAATTCATCCCGAAATAGAAAAGATAGTAGCAGAGAAGAGATGCGTCAAATGTCAGGACGTAAATATTAAATTTTTCTTTTTCTTTGATATATGTTTATTATAATGCATTATTCGAAATGAATTTACGTTTCTATGAAAATTGATTTTCTTTGCGGCCCACCTTAAGTTAAACCTTGTTTATTTGGCCCAAGACAGTCTCTGAGTTTGTGTGACACCCT